TTTCTCATTGTGTTTTTTGTTGTCATTTTGTTTTGTTCTTTTGGGGGTTTTGTTTGTTTTATTGCTTTATTTTTTCATTAAAGTATAGTTGATTTATAGTATTATCTTAGTTTTAGGTATATAGCATAGTGATTCATTTTTTTATAGATTATACCTCATTAAAAGTTAATGACTATAATGGCTATAATTCCCTGTGCTTTATAATATATTCTTGTTGCTTATTTATTTTATATATAGTAGTTTGTAACTCTTAATCCCATACCCATAATTTGCCCTTCCCTGTCCCTATCACCTTTTGATAACCACTATTTTATTTTCTGAATCTGCCAGTTTCTATATTGCATATACATTAATTTGTATTGTTATTTTATATTCCACCCACAAGTGTGATTCCTTTTTTGTATCCTTAGTTGTATAAAATCTTTTCTGCTAGTCTTTAGGTCATTCTCATAGTTACTCTGTAAATAGTTGTAATTTTGGTGTGCCTGTGGAAGGGGTGAGCTCAGGGTCTTCCATTCTACCATCTTGGCCACACCTCTCAAGGATGACCATCTTTTCATGAGCTTATGAACTCCTTGTGTTTTATCTTTAGTGTAATGTCTAGTCAAGTCTTTTGCCAATTTTCAAATTGGGTTGTTTTTCTTTTTATTATTGAATTGTTATGCATCATTATGTATGTTGGATGTTTAAGTCATCATACATATAATCTGCAAATATTTTTTCTCAGTGTGTAGCTTGTCTTTTTACTTGTTTAATAGTGTCTTTTGAAGCTCAATTTAAAAAAAAATCTGATGACATCCAGTTCATCTTTTTTCCTCTCATTAGTGTATCATGCTTTTGGTGTTGCATTCACAAACCCTTTTCCTAATCCAAGGTCGTGAAGATGTTTCTCCCAGAAGAGTTATAACTTTAGCTCTCACAGTTAGGACTATTATCTGTTTTCTATAAGTTCTTGCATATAATGTGGATTTAAATATAGAGTTTTGCATGTAGATTATCAATTGACCCACCCAGCATCATTTGCTTGAAAGGTTATCCTTTTACCATCAAATTGTCTTGGAATTTTTGTCAAAAATCAATTGACCGTAAATGCTGCAGTTTATTTCTCAACTCTCAAGTCATATTGGTTAATCTGTAAGTCTATCCTGTGCCAGCACCACACTATTGATTTCTATAAGTTCTGAAATCAAGAACTGTTAAGTCCTCAACTTTTTTTATTTTCTTAATTGTCTTATCTGTTACGGATTCTTACATTTCCATATACATTTTAGTATCTGCTTGTTAGGTTTTGCAGAAACTCTTCTGGAATTCTGATAGATATTTCATTAAATCTATAGATGAATTTGAGGAGACTGGCCATAATAACAATATTGACTACTCCAATCCATAAACATGGACTCTCTTTCCATTTATTTAGATCTCCTTCAGTTTTTTCAGCAATGTTTTGTACTTTTCGATGTATAAGTATTTTACTTTTTTGGTTTAGATTTACTTCTAAGTATTCTTTTTGACACTATTGTGAATAGAATTGTTTACTTAATTTTATTTTCAGATTTGTAAGTCATCAGACCTCCCAGTGTAGTTAAAGATATATGCTTTGGGAGATGTATGTATATAATATTAAAATTGTATCTCCAAACTCATCAAGTTGGCTATAAGATAAGTATCCATAAAAGAAAGGCTTTTCTCTATCGATTTCCAATATTAAATCAGAGGTTTGTTTCTGCAGAAGAAAAGAATGGTAGAAAATTTACCAACATTTCATTGATGATTGCATTAGAGGGACTGAATAATGGAAACCCTTTTTCTCTTTTCTCTGCTTTTCAAACTTTATAAAATGTTACTGTATTTTCCTTGACATAAAAATAATTTTAAGTGAATTATCTGGTGGAGTAAGATAAAGATGATGGTTCAACTTAATGTACTAAAAAGCAGTATAGCCTTGTGCTTAAGACTGAGGGCTCAAGAGTCAGGCAGCATATGTTCAAAGTCTAGCCCCACCACTCGAATAGCAGGATGACCCTCAGTAAGTTTCTGAGTCTCTCTGTGAGTCACTTCTTTTAATCCTATCAGAATAAAATAATAGTATCTGCCTCTTGGAGTTATTGTGAAGGTCAAATGAAGTAATGCATGGAATGAGCTTAACATGGTACCTTGTAGATAATAAGTGCTTACTAAACATTTTGAGGTAAGTGAGATAATAGTTGCAGTATATAGCAGCAGGAACTGTGATAAAAGTTTAAACAGAATGCTGTGGGAATAGAGGAAGGAGAAAAAAGCTCTGGTTTGCAAGGCAAGAGAGACTCCTCAGAAAGAGTAACAGTTAATCTGGAACTGTATTGGATGAGGAGTTCTCAAAATGAAGAAAAAGGGAAAAGTCATTTTAGGAATATGAAACAGCATATAAAATGGCAGTAAAGCATGTAGGGAGAACTGAGATGAATATGCATTTAAAATTCATTTTGTAAATTTTGGTAAATTCATTTCTTTATTAAATAGACTATTGTGCGTTTAGCAGAAATATTAGAACTTAGAGATGCAGCCATGAACTAGGTGGCAAGATCTCAGACCTCATGAAGTCCACAGACTGGTAGGGAGCAAGCAGTAAGCCAGTAAACAAATAATCAGACAAGACATGTTTCAATTGTGATAAAAGCTATGAAAGAAATAAATCAACAGATGTGATAAACACTGACTCAACCAGAACACTGGTAATTATAAGTGAATGCCTTGGTGGATTTGAGATGACCCAAATCAATGATTTTCAACAGAGTGAGAATGTTGTAGGGGATTGCCCCTGCTGGGGCAAAGGTATAAATGTCAGAATCACCTAGGTTTGTGGTTTCAGAGCTACTCATTAGGACCACTGGATAGCTTTTTTTTTTTTAAGTATTTTTTTTAAAGTACTCCAGGGGCCTCACCCTTGTCAAATTATATTACAAAGCTATAGTAACTAAAAGTAACACTCAGATAAGTCACATTCATCTGGGAATTACACCCACTCATTCGGAGTGTATATCTGTTCGCTTAGCTTTCAGACACCCAGGTCCTGCAGCTCCTCACTTGGACGTGGTTCACACTCAGATGTAGTTTGCACTCTCAGTTGGCCACATTCACTCACGTGTAGACTCATGCACACTCTGTGCCGTTGTTCAGATGTGCACGCTGTTTAGCAGGCGTCTTGTTGAGCCATGACTAACCTCCACACAGGTATCACTCATCCAAGTGTGGCGTTCACTCACCGGCCTATTTCCATCTGCATTGCTGACCCCCATGCTCAAGGAGATTCGGGGGAAGACTTGCCATATTGAGTGTGTCATGTTTCCTTGCGTCAGTCCCTCTGTAGCCTTTCTCCCCTAATTAAGTAGTCCTGTACCTCTGTCTTCACAAAGTTGTGCTTCTTAATCAACTGTCTTCAGATGGACAGTCTGATTGAAGCATGGTAGCCTTCACCACATTCCATTTTCATAAACCACGTGTTCGTTCACTATGCCATTTTTAAATAATCAGTTTGGGAGCACTGCTGCAATTACTCTATTAATTCATAAAAGTTCCTGGAGGTATTCTTTGGGTAATTGATATTTTGTCTTAAATTACAAATCCCAGGGATTTGTGCAATAAAGATCTTCTAAAAGAAGAGCATTTATTCAAGAGAAGTAAAATTGTAAGTGTTCAAAGAGATAGTAAAATGTTATCAAAATTTAGGATAACTTTTCTAAGTGGAGCCTACACATTTGGCATACAGCTAGTGTTCAATACAGGCTTGGTCATCTGTCTTCACACACTAGCACCTTCTCCCATCCTTAAAGTTGAGGGGAATGGGCGAGATCATTGGACAGGAGATCAGAAAAATCACTGTTTATCTTGATTAGGGTTTCTGCATCCAGTCAGTTTTGGCTTCATGCTTATTGTCAATTTTAATTCAATTCAGTTTGGTTCATTTGAACAATCTTTCACTAATCACTATATGGGTATCAGGCAACCTGCTGAGCAGTGTGTCAACAGGGGAGAGTGATACAGAGATAACTAAGCCACAACTTCCACTGTCCAGATGGTCACAGTCCAGCCAGAGGAACAGTAGTCCCATGCTCATGTTACTGCAGTCTCAGGCAGAGAGATGTCAATGAGCTGTGGGGGAGTCAAGTAGAGGAGGGAAATCATTCAGATTTAGAAGATCTAGACCAGGAGATGAAAGATGGGCTTGGCCTTTGGGGAAAGGCTCCCATGGGCAGAAGTAGGTAGAATGAGAGGGCATTGCAGGTGGAGGAAGCATGAACTGGTAATGGCATGGGGTTGTATCCAAAGGATGTTTGTGCAGTAGCTTGGGGTCTGGAGCAGCTAGAATGAGGGGTTTATTGTAAGACTTTCTGAAAGGTAGATAGAAGCCTGACACAAAGTGCCCCAAATGCCAGGATGAGGAGTCTAGATTGTATCATTCAGATAATTGAGAGCCTGTGACAGTCCTTGAAGAAGGACAGTGTTATGTTTAGGAAGATCAGTGGATTAACTAGTTGGTTGATCAGATAAATTAGAGGCAAAGAGCCCAGCTGAGTCCAGCTAAGTAAGAAGTGGAGAAGTGCCCAAACTCAACATTATGATGGGAGGAGAAAGGGGGAGGGGCGGGTACAGATTGCTGAGGTCAAGTCAGCAGAACTTGTTGATTAGAGGTGCAGAGTGGGAGCTGAGGAGGTAGGAATTGAGGAAGAGCCCCAGGTTCAGGATCTGGCCACTTGACAAGCAATGCTACCCTTCATTAAGGAAAGATATGTAGAAAGAGGAGGACACAGGTGTGTAGGGGTTGAAACTGAGTTGCATTTTGGATGTATATAGTGTGAGCTGGCTTTGTAACATGTAAATGGAGATCTGTTTCTACAAAGCAGTGAGTTTATAAGTCTGAAGCTCAAGAGGGAGGTTTATTATGCAGACAGAGGTGATGATGATAAATAACGCATTCCTCCCTCCAGGTAGTGGCTCATTTGCTTCTCCTCTTTCCTGTCCAGTGTTTATCAGCTGGTTGTCAAGGAGGAGCGACCTCAGAAGTCACGGAGGGCAGCTGACATCATTGAGTGCTTTTCGGTGCCAGTGAGCTATAGGAATGCCTCCAGCCTTGATTCTCTACACTACTTTGCTGCTGAATTGAAACCTGCCAACCTGCCTGTCACCCAGCCATTTACAGTCGGTGACAACAAGACATACAATGGCTACTGGAACCCTCCTCTTTCCCCTCTGAAAAGCTACAGCATCTATTTCCAGGCACTCAGCAAAGCAAACGGAGTAAGTATGACCACACGGAGGTCATTTCTTGCCTTGTTTTCTCATTCTTAAATGAGGAGGCAACATGTCTGGAGAGCAGAGGTTGACAAACTAAGACCCATGGACCAAAACATTCAGCCCTGTGCTTTTTTTTTTTCCTCAGGTAAAGGAATATTGTGTGGGTTTTTTTTTTTAACTGAGTGATAGTCAGTTTACAATGTTGTGTCAATTTCCAGTATAGAGCACAATTTTTCAGTTATACCTGAGCATACATATATTCATTGTCACATTCTTTTTTGCTGTGAGCGACCACAAGATCTTGTATATATTTCCCAGTGAAGCCTACTAATTTTCATAGTCTGAAGCTGCTTTGATGCTACAGCAGTATACTTGAGTAGTTGTGACAGAGACACTATGCCACATAAAACCTAAAATATTTATTATATGGCCTTTTACAGAGAAAGAGCTCACACCTGTGTATTAGAGGCTAGAAAGGTGTTTCACTTGGGCAAATCATATGCAGATCTGAGTCTTAATTTCCTCATCTATAAAATAACACCTAGAAATTTGATATCCATGAAGGCATTAAACATGTTTTAATCAATCAGTGGCTAATAACCCTTTTATCATTACCGTTAGTCACACTGTAAAATATTTTTTTCTCCCAAAGTCAAGGTAACCTTTTGGTGTCAAATTTTGTTTTTGGTTAACGAAGGGTGTCAATCATAACGTCACAAAATCATAGGGCTAGGAAGGATCTCAAAGGTCATCCAAACCTCCTTCCCTCCCCTTGCACAAGAAACAGTGGTTCATTCAACATCATAATATCACAGTGAACTGATGTTAGTACTTTGTCTTGAATACCTCGATTGACAGAAAACTCACTCCTTTATGGGGTAACTTTGCTGATCTTTGTGGGCGCTGTGGCTCTAAGAAAGCTTTTTATTGTATTGACTTAAATATATCTTTTATTGTAGCTTCTACCCACTGCTCTTGATGCATGCGTTCAGATTCCAGTAGAACCAATAATCACCTTCTCAGGTGGTATTTTTTTTTTCAGTTACATAAGAACTTTTCCACCATTCACTTCCCTCTATACAAACACACCCATCTGGTCTTATCTTCTGCAAGCTGAAAATCTTTCATTCCTCTTATGACTCAAGTATTTTCCATGTAGGAAGCTTTTGTGGGCAAATTCCAGGTTGCCATATTTCATTCAACCAATATATAATGAACAGTGACATATGCTGGGCCCTGTAGTTCATATTAAGATTATGTAGTGTGTGCCCTTGAAAAGCTTCTATAAATGTAAGCGAATCTGGTATGTGCCATGTCCCACAGTGTATCTGGAGAAGTGAGAAGCTCCCTGGAGAAGAGAAAGCTGAGACAAAAGCAAGATTTGGTGACATTCTTACAGAATAGCCTATGTGGGCACTGGGTGGCCAAGATAAAGAGTTTAGTCTGTCAGTGGCAGTTATTAACTTATGAGAAACCCAGATTGAGAAACTCATTAACATTTAAAATGTCCACATACCCATTTAGATTCCACATTGGTATTTCAGTTCTGCATTTATTACTGGCTCCAGCAACATTCCTCACAGGGAGTACAAACCACAGAAAGAGGCTGCCGGACTGCCTTCTACCTGTGTATCTGGTCTTGTCTCTGCGTGAAACACTGATGTATTGAGGAGGAAGACATGAAGATGGCCAGAAGCATCTGGGGCCCCGTCTTGTTCTTGGTTCTCTGCATCCCCTATTGGCTAGTTTGTTAGTTCAGCACAACCTTGAGAAGGTGTGGTTTACCCTGTTCATGGCAACATATCAAGAAGTGCTCTTGGGTTTCCATGCTGTGAAGAGGAGTGGCTGCTGTGCTCAGTTCACCCTCTACCACATTCCTGCCAAGAGTCTCATAAAAACACAGCAATAGACCAAGTCTGGAGAACTCAAGAAATTGGAAAATGGACTCCAGGAGAGATTTCCCCTGCCTGAGCATGGTAGGTCCTGAGCAGAACAGCAGATGAGGCAGAAGGATTGTTGGAGGTTTTGCTCTCCAAACATCATACAGTAGATCCCCTTTTCAAGACAAGGGGTTTTGCCATTGGGAAAAAGTCACCCCACCCTGAAGCTACTTCATCTCAGAAGCAGTTTCTACTACTGCTTCCGAGGTAAACGAGGCCATTTAATTCCTCATGCCTTCCACCTTGCACCATGTGTACACTCACTTGGGCACTAAGATTTGCAATAATGAAACACAAGCAGGAATGGAATTGGATGAATGGTTTTGCCAGGTGTCTTGAGGGTGTAGTCAGCCTCACAAGAACAGAGAAGAAGGAGCTGTGGGAGCTGGGCACTCAGAGTGTTGTGTTTTTCTGACAAGAGAAAAACTACACACCATTTCAAATTACTGTGTATAGTATTAAGTTCTACTAAAAAGAGTTGGGTGACAGGGACAGGAGCAGAAAAGTCATCCTCAGTCTGACAAATCTCTGCTTGGCCCCCTCAGATTTCTCTGTATCATGAAGGGCAGCAGACAATGCAGTTAAGCCTGGAGGATTTTTGAGGAGAATCTGCTATAACCCACAAATTCCTTATCAGCCAAATTGTTGTTCTTGTGCAAATGCATCAGAAAGACATTCTTACTATCCAGAGGCTTCCACATGACCTGATTCTAATAAATCATTCAAAAAGCAATTGAGCAAGCCATGAATCAAAATAGAGAAATCAAGAATAGAGAAATATGGAATAAAAAGACCCACAGTGAACATGAAAACTAATTAAATATCACATTAATGCTAAATAATTGCTTTAAATATGTTACAAGGGAGGTTAATATTAAAAATAATTAAAGAGAAGATATATAATGTAAAAAGTTAACAATTGTGATCTGAGTCTGTAATTCACTATTCTGTCAAAAAAAACAGAAGGAGCTGGAGAACTGATGAATATAAATAAAACTGCCCACTTCAGACAGGATGGAATACATAATGAGTATTTTATTTTTGATACTGAGAATTTTTGAAAAGTATTTTTTAAATAAAAGGCAGCCTTCCAATGTATCGTAGAAGTGCCAGCAAACAATCTGCAAAGGAAGCTGTAAACATGAAACTCAGCAACTGTAAAGCAAGACAAAAGGCAGAAGCACCAGATCTGATTTTTTTTTAAATGTGATGCTTTGCTCTCTTTATAAAAGGTGTAAAATGTCTTGGGTCAAGTAAAAACCGGAATTCAGCAAATCTATATCACTGGAAGATTAAAAACAAAGGTTAAGGCAAAGTTCTAGTAAATTAAAACAAATTCAAGGAAAGCAGAAATGGCCATTTGTTGCAGGATGGTTGTGGGCAAGTTTGAATTATTTACTATCTGTCAATTTCATTGCTTCCAATCCCATCTGCAAGTTTCAGTCAGAACAGGGTAAGAGAATTTTAGGATCCAGATATGCTATGGATATTAAAGAGGGTTTCTCAGCTTAGCAGAGTAGCTAAATGTTTAGCCTTTACAATCAGACTGCCTACACACGAACCCCTAGTAACTTACTTTTATGTAAACTATTAAAGGAGTTAATTGTGGTTGATTAATTAAGTAAGTAAACATCCAAGAAGCACATACTATATGACAAAAAGTGACACATCTTCTGAGTGTTGAGAATAAGTGGTAGGCCCAATAGACAAAAAAAAAAAAGAAAGAAAGAAAGAAAGAAAGAAAGAAACGAAAAAGAAAAAGCCTGTCCTCAAAGCAGTAACATTCTAATAGGGGAGAGACCAAAAATAAATAAGTGAAATAATATGTCATATAATTAATCATTAGATTTAGAAATGTGGAGATCACTTGTTAAATTCTCGACTATTTTTAGGATAAGGGTAAATACATTCTGTAAACTCTACAGTGAACTATATAAATGTAGAATATTTTAATCCAGCCTTGTACACACAATGGAGAGTTCAAGTGTCGTGTGCGTTATGAGGCATGGTTCTCAGAGTCCTTGCAGACACTTTCACGAAGTGTGAGTGTTTCCTAGGCACTTGCACTGGGAATTTTGGTCAGATTAGTAATACCGCATTTACTCGTTCATGCTTTCTTACACGTAACAAGAGCAATCCTAGTTATTGGAGTGCTGTCCTTGGTGCTGAACTCTGCACGTGAATCAGGCCCTGTTGTGACCGTTTGTTTTGGTTCCGACTACATTATAGATCTGTAGCGCTTTAGAATTGGATGAGCTTGAAGTGCCACCTAATGTGCACCAGAAGTCAACAAAGAAATCTCTAATAAAGTGTTCTTGGCAGGGAATTACATAGCCTCTGCTTGACTACTGAAATTCTCTGGAGGGAAAGCATTAATTCCTTTGCTGAACAGGTAAAATTATTATATTCCTTCTAAAAGATAAATTCTGTCTCCTTAACTCTCTACTTTTGGACACTTGTATTGATTTGGACAAATCAAATCGTTCTTTACCACGTCAGCCTTTTGGAGAAGATATGACAGTATCAGCCACCATCCCTCGCTACACAGGCAATCTCTCCTTGATATTTAATCTGAAATTACTTCTTTGTCTCACATGTCATGATTTCTGTATCTCTTTCCTCCTGTTTATTCTGTCCTCTTATTGACAGACTCCTTTTTTCCCCAATGCCCTCCTTAAAAAGGGGTGCCCAGAACCTAGCGTTGTGCTCCAGAGAGAGTTAAACCATGCCTGCTACATTTCAGCTACATTCTCTCTTGACCATTTTCTAAGACATTATTTCTTGTACATTCCAAGATATTTTTCTCACTTTAGGGCCCTCATATATGCTGTCATTTTACCTGAGTCTCTCTTCTTCATTCGTGGAAGAACTAGTACTTTCTCAGTTTTCAAGCCTCATCTTCAATGTCATATCCTCTGGCAACTTTCCAGTCATACTATCTGAGACCTGTCTCCACTGTACTCACTACAGATTAATCGGTTCTTTTTCGTTACAACGTTGTGCATATTTTTAATTACAGTTGTTTTCAGTGCATGTCTCTCTCATTAGACTGAGCTTTCCAGG